TGAGGATCATAATGCAGTTCCTCCAAAATTGGAGTCCCCACACCTCAAAAAATGCTCAAATCAAGCTCATACGAACCCGATAAAACTCTGCAGACTGAGCAAGGAACGGTCTTTCAAAATCCTCTTCATATACAGCTCTGGATTCTATTCCCAAGACTATTAACATCTGTGCAGCATTCTTGATTGCTAGCCTGTCAACTACTTCACCTCTACGTTCCCTCATCACCATGTCTAGTAATGTTTCTCGTAGGTGGTCCCGTATGCAGCCATGCCGTACAACCTGCCAGACAAGTGAAAATATTAATAAGGTTGTCTGTGACAAAGAAAATAAATAAATAAATAAATAAATAAATAAATAAATAAATATTTAAAAATAAATATAAATATATAACTGATAATAATTAATCAATGCACAAAATCTGACCACAAACTTATTTGGAAGCATACTATTAAACTAGAATATCATCATTTGTTCAACTACATAATGTTACAAAACTGCACATGCACACAATCCATGACCCTCTTTCCAATGCCTGAATTCACCAGCTATACCTGATCTCTGAAAATAATTAATCCTAAGTTGTAGACATTGTCAACATTGTTCTGCTGCACGTAGACACGGTCCATATACATGAGGATATCCCGAATCATCACCATGGAGGTCTGGTGGTCATTCCAGGCATGATTTAACGTTTGTAAAAAGTTGTTTTGTAACGATGCCAACACATCTGCCCGGACCTGGAGGGAGGAATGTGAATCAGTTGCAGTCCCAAGATTCTGAAGTGAATTTCACAGGGTGGATTCTACAATTACAAAGATAGGTTTTAAAGTTGATTATGCAAAGGTAGGTTCTATAATTAATTACTTTTGTAAAATTCTAAGTGAATTATACAGAGGATTACAAATGTAGACTATCTAGATTTCACAGTGCATTACATAATTAAGTTCTTTAGTGGATCATATGAGCAAATTTGAAAGTATAAGATGCATTCTGCAAATCAGTACATAAATTAAGTCTACAGCATACCACACAGATTTTACTGACGTGGGCTTCACAGTGTACTATAAAAATGAATCCTGAAGTGTTTTACACTGCTGGATTCTGTAATGAACAGCCCTAGTCGTACCTTATTCTCCAAGTGCTGTGTCACGACATCCCTGAGGCCTGTATATAGTCTCTCCCCATGCTTGTGTAGGACCATAGTGTAGGCATTGCGGTAGAGTTCCTCAAAACTGAGACCACTGTTGTTCTTTTTCTGTATCTCTTGGATGGCACTCTTTAGCAGCTGCCAGATATTTTCCACATAACGTTCATCCATCGTCATCTGCAAGAGAAAGTCATTGTTGTTACATATCTATGAATATTTACTGGTAACTTTGTGTAATTTTGTGTGCGTGTGCGTGTGCATGTGAGAGTACAAGAGAGAGAGAGAGAGAGAGAGAGAGAGAGAGAGAGAGAGAGAGAGAGAGAGAGAGAGAGAGAGAGAGAGAGAAGAGAGAGAGAGAGAGAGAGAGAGAGAAGAGAAAGAGTAGAGAGAGAGAGAGAGAGAGAGAAAGAGTACGAGAGAGAGAGAGAAAGAGTACAGAGAGAAGAGAGAGTACGAGAGAGAGAGAGTACGAGAGAGAGAGAGTACGAGAGAGAGAGAGAGAGAGAGAGAGAGAGAGAGAGAGAGAGAGAGAGAGAGAGAGAGAGAGAGAGAGAGAGAGAGAGAGAGAGAGAAGAGAGAGAGGAAGAGAGAGAAGAGGAGAGAGAGAAAGAGGAGAGAGAGAGAAGAGTACGAGAGAGAGAGAGTAGAGAGAGAAAGAACGAGAGAGAGAGAGAGAGTAGAGAGAGAGAGTACGAGAGAGAGAGAGAGAGAGAGAGAGAGAGAGAGAGAGAGAGAGAGAGAGAGAGAGAGAGAGAGAGAGAGAGAGAGAGAGAGAGAGAAGAGAGAGAGAGAGAGAGAGAGAGAGAGAGAGAGAGAGAGAAGAGAGAAGAGAGAGAGAGAGAGAGAGAGAGCAGAGAGAGAGAGAGAGAGAGAGAGAGAGAGAGAGAGAGGAGAGAGAGAGAGAGAGAGAGAGAGAGAGAGAGAGAGAGAGAAGAGAGAGAGAGAGAGAGAGAGAGAGAGAGAGAGAGAAGAGAGAAAGAGAGAGGAGAGAAGAGAAAGAGAGAGGAGAGAAGAGAGAAAGGAGAGAGAGAGAGAAGAGAGAGAGAGAGAGAGAGAGAGAGAAGAGAGGAAGAGAGAGAGAGAGAAAGAGAGAGAGAGAGAGAAGAGAGAGAGAGAGTGGAGAGAGAGAGAGAGAGAGAGAGAGAGAGAGAAGAGAGAGAACGAGAGAGAGAGAGAAGAAGAGAGACGAGAGAGAGGAGAGAGGAGAGGAGGAGAGAGAGAGAGAAAAGAGAAAGTAAGAGAGAAAAAAAGGAGAGATAGAAGAAGGGAGGAAAGAAGAAAGAGAGAATTAAAGGAGGGCGGAAAGAAGGGAGAGAGGAGCGGAGAAAAAAAAAAGAGACCACAAAAGAAAA